CAATTCGGGGGTGCTACTATGTGCAAACAAAAATCTAGAAGTCTAATAAACTTTAAAATCTAATAATCGGTTTAAAAAATGGGTCTTATAATGTTTCTAATAGATTTTCAAAATCTAATAATATCTGAGAATTTATAATTTCAAGATCTGTTATTATATCTATATTTGGATTAAAAGGTATCTCGTATTTAGAAATATTCTTTTTTCCAATTTATCTATAATATCTTGTATTTCTTTTGTTATTATAAATCTTACTATTCATTTAGCAAAATTTTTCATCATATTTTCTTTAAAACATTTTAATATTTTTTGAGATGCATTTAATTGTTCTTGATATCCAATCTTGTCAAATTCATTTTCAAATTCAATTTCCTTTTTATCTTTAGCTATCTTTTTATTTTTATATGGTCCTCTTTTGGTTCTTGATTTTTTATAATTTTTATTAGTCATTTTATAAACTAGGACTTCATGGTATTCTTTTCTTATATTGAAAGCTTTGGTTGCAATTATTGTTTTTATGGGTATTTTAGGTAGTTTATATGGTTGAATGATAAAAAAGGATATTTTGGAGAGGGTATTGCTAAATTTTGGGTATTTCCAATAATTTCCCATTCATGGCTCCTACTTTCTCCACCATATCCAACTCATTTGCAATTTTGATACTTGGTTTGTTAATATCAAACCAAGAAGCTTATGGTCATGGATGCTACAAATCTATAATCAGTTTCGGCAATTCACTCGCTGACACTGGGAATCTGCTTCATATTAATCCACCCGATAAACCTCCTAAATCTGGGCGATGGCCTTATGGGATAACTTTCTTCAAACGCCCCACCGGGCGGTATTCCGACGGCCGACTCCTCGTTGATTTCATTGGTACGTGGGACGCGAGCATTGAGCCGTTGGGCTAACTTAAATAAAAGCGGAAGTCAACTTTTTATTCTTGTGTTTGGTCTAACTTTTTTACTCGTGTTGACTGCTTGATTATACTTTGATTTGCTGAAATTGACTATCCTTTGATTTTTGTTTACAGCTCAGAGTTTGGGGCTGCCATTTCTGGAACCATTTATTGGCAGTAAAAATGCAAATGCAAGCAACAGAAATTTTAGTAAAGGTGTGAATTTTGCAGTTGCTGGAGCTACAGCACTTAATCAATCTTTTCTTGAGAAATATGGAGTCTTTAATCCTCTGACTAATGTCTCTCTGGGAACTCAGTTGGATTGGTTCAAAGAATTTTTTTCTACATTCTGCAAGACAAATCCAGGTAAGCCTACCTGTCAAATAATATGATTACACTATGAGATGTATAGTAATTGAAAGGCTTACATTCCATTCCATGTGTTTGCTTCTACTTATCCCGAGAGAAAAAATAATTTATTTATTTATTTATGTAAACTTTCATTTCTTCATCAATAATATTTTCACAGATGGGTGATATTGATTGAGCCTTGAAACTTAGAACCTAGAATCTTTGCCTCATATGCTGAACCGCTTCATCGAAAGTGTAAACTATTAGAGATTGGAAGATGGAAGCTTTGTGTTGATCACAGGATGATAACTTAACATGTAATTGAAAGTGAAACTCAGGAATTTGAAATGGGATCAGATACATTTATAATCTAGAGGGGAATAATTTGATGTTCAGAAGAACTTGGGTTCTTGACAGACGAGACAAGAAAGTGAGTATCCCAACGAGTAGTCTTTACTTATCATTAACTCGTTCTGTGGTCAAAATGGGCAAACCCATGAACAAAATAAATATGAATAGTAGTAACTAGTAGGTGAGGATAAAATAGGACCCCATCAATATAGAAGCAATGACAAGTTTAATGTAAAGTTTGAATTAAATCTGCCCTCATTCCACGTTGATCTGCCTCAAATGTTAGAGAGGGAAGAATGTATTTACCTCTATTTATATTTCAACAGATATATCATATGTGCACTAACATATTGAGATAACATGATATAGTTTGGTGAAGAGTCGGCCGTCGGGTGCAGAGGTACTACTGCTATCTACGTCTGTTAATTTATTTCTTTATGCAATGACAAGATGATATCACGGATAGATATATAAACATCGGATGAAAGTATCACCAGGTTTTGACGGAGTGACCTTTCTATTAACATTGATTTTTATGATATTATGCACATGTTTGGCCCTCGTTAAATTAAAATTCATTTTTCTCTTTCTTCTTATCAACTACACATTCTTCAATAAAATAATATTACACGTAAGCCTAAAAGCTTTTTTTTTTCAACCACACATTTTTCAAAAAATTACTATTCTCCTCATTAAAAAGTGACATAATGGAGGCCAAACAGGGGCTATATAAATGGTGTTACATGAAAGGACAGGGGGATTCTTGGGATGGTGATACCAAATTGTAATAAGGAGTAGGAGCCTTGTTTAAGGCAACCAATACTGTTCCTTGATTAGTTATCTGCACCTATTATTTGACCATGTGCGCTGAACAATTTTATCAGCCTATTGAGTTATAACTTCCCTCTCTAGTATCCTTGACTGAATCTACTCTCAAATATTAGGACTATTATGTATTGACAAGCTTGGATATAGTAAGGAAGGAGAGAAACACGGCTCAATAACACTTTAAAAGAACACATTATAAAAGATCCAAAAAAAAGGGTAAAATAAAAGTTCTCCATTAGTGCTCAATGGATTCACATGGTCTTCTACCTGATTGAAAGACGATCATTTTACAAACTAAAAAAGAAGTTGCTTTAGTCACTTGTTGAAAGATAGAGGATCCACACTAAGATACAAAGTCTTCGGCAGTTTTAATTGGCCTCTTTCAAATGAATCTCTCCCTAATTTCAATTATATCTGGTGCATCAGATGTGTCAATGTTTGCAAGTGTCTCGGTATTGCATTTGGTTTTCCATGTCACCAGAATGACATTATCTGGTTGTTCAAGAAATCAATGGCTGTTTTTTTTTTTTTTTTATATAACCGTGGATGTCCGGGCCAGCTTGCGCGCACCTCGACTAATTCCAGAAATCAATGGCTGTTACAGAATGTTTGTTATGGAAAATATTATTAGTTTCTCTAATATATCTATATTTCTTAGATTCTCATGTATTCCTTTTTGTTCTTGCATCAATTTAATACATGGCTACTCGCATTCTATCTGCAGATTGTAAAACATTTCTTCAAACATCTCTAATTCTAGTGGGTGAGATTGGAGGCAATGAATACAATTATGCATTCGTGCAAGGAACAGACATAGAAGTGATTGAATCATTTGTTACTGCAATTATCAGTGACATCAGTTTCACGGTCCAAGTATGCAAGGACCTTATTCAATGTTGCGAATCATTTGATTTTCCTTTTTCCTTTGTCCCTGCATAGACATTCCTTTATTTCTGTCTGGACATTTAGATTAGGTATAAGTTATAACCAAGTTCATATTCCGCGTATGTGAAATCGAATTAGAAGTACGAAATGATACTTTTGTCATCAACAAAGACAACTTGGCTGTTGTTGGTCCAAACAATTAATTACAGGCTGCTGACTCACATTACTCCTATAAATAATTATATATTGTGTTTGTGAAGCAGGAGTTAATTAAGCTTGGAGCCAGCACAGTGCTTGTTCCGGGGAACCTGCCAACTGGTTGTTTGCCTTATTATCTTTCATATTACGAGGATTCGGATGAAAAAGAATATGACCGTAAAACTGGTTGTCTTAACTGGTTAAACGGGTTTTCTGAGCACCATAACGATCTGCTTCAGATGGAACTGAACCGCATACGTGGTCTTTATCCATATGCCACCATTATATATGGAGATTATTACAATGCTGCAATGCGCATTTATCTTTCTCCAAACAAATTTGGTACTTCTTAACATATAATGATATCAGCAATTCTAGTTCACAGAAACTTTTGTTATGCCATCCCCTGCCCTCTCCTATTAATTCTATATTTTTTGTTTCGGACCAAAATTTACATTTGTCGAATGTTGTTGCAGGATTTACAAGCGTTCTTAGAGCATGCTGTGGAGCAGGAGGACCATACAACTACAATGCATCAGCGGAGTGCAGCACTCCACCAGCAACTGTTTGTGGTGATCCTTCTCGATATGTTAGTTGGGATGGTATACACTTTACAGAGGCAGCCTACCGTCGGATAGCACAGGGTCTACTTGAAGGACCATACACCATTCCTCTCATCCGAACAGTTTGTAGCTCAATATCCAGAATCTCTGGACTTTCTGAGTATTAATACATTGCCAAGTTGTTGATTTTCCTACAAGCTTTCACGAATTAATTAAAGCTGGAATTGCCCTGATTCTCTGCTCTCCTTTCCAGTTGCGTGGGTTGACACATAGCCACTATAAATTAGTAGAACTGGATTGCATCCAAATACTATTAAAACATGTATCTGGGCATTTAAAAAGTACCTGCAGTTGGGTAATTGGTGATTGTCATTGAGGTGAAGTTTCAGTTTATATTAATTTGATGACATTACAGAGATTACCTATGGTCTATAACCATAGAAGCTTAAGAATCTTGATAAAAGCGAAATACTGGTGGACGATTATTACCGAAAGTGATTGAAGAGTTGCTTACTCATCTTTTTTTTTTTTTAATTTATTATTTTTATTATTATGATAAAATCATCCCCTTCTACGTTTTTACTTATAATTACAACTACATGAATTTTTACATTTACCAAACATGTATTGATTACATGGGTGTGTTTGACACTCATTTAGTCATTTTGGTGAAAAATAAATTCTGGAATAGTGATTGATGGAACGAATGTGTGGTTGAAAAGTAAGAAAATTTTTTGGGTTTATGTGTAATATTATTTTATTGATTAATGTGTGGTTGAAATGAAGAAAGAGAAAAAAATGAGAAAGAGAATGGGAAGAGAATGGATGCCAAACGGGCACATCTCTTGGTTTTTTATCCCGTCATTATGGTTCCGCTTTGTTTGTTTGATGCATTTTGTCTGGTTGTACTATTCTTTACTTGTATGTTGATGACATGATTATCATTGATAGTAAATGTTAATGAAATTGTTTTGTAAGTCAAAATTAGCTCATTAATATGAAGTAGAAGACTTGGCCCTTGCATTACTTCGTCGGCTTAGAGCTTACATTCCTAAGAGTTATTTTCTATCTTAGTTTAAGTATGCCAAAGATGTCATTAAGCGTGCTCATCTCATTGATGCTTAGATTGTTAGATGCTCTTCTTGAGACCAAAATTCCATATCCGCCCTTTAATGGTGCATCTTTAACAAATCCTACTTTATATCGTAATATTGTTGGTTGTTTGATACATTTTACTGTTACTTGTCCAGAAATTGTTGGTCATTATATTGTTAGTCAGTGTGTTGTCTCGTCTATTACATTTCATTGGGTAGGTATTTTTCCTATTTTTTGACACTTGCTTTCAAAGTCTTTTTATTTTCATCAATCTCATCTTTAGACTTGTTCACTTACTATGGTGTTGATTGGACTAGTAACCCCATTATCCCAAATCCACCACGATTTCTATGGATTTTTTGGAGTTTATGTTGTGAGTTGGAGAAGTGAGGAGGAGATTATTGTTTTCAGATCTACTAAAACTGAGTATCGTTTTATGGCATCTACTACAATTAAAATAATATGACTTAGTTGGTTACTTGCGCATATTTGTGTTCATTATAAATGCACACGCGTGCACGACTCTCAAATCATAAAGAGCGAAGGAAATTGAGACAAATTGATTAGGAAATTATTACCATTTTAAATAATTCTATATTTTCTGAAATTAAGACAAATTGATTAGAAAATTATTACTAATGTGATAAGTTTAGTTCTTTTAAGAGATGAACAAATGCCCTAACCTCCAACAAATGAAAAAGAAAAAATAAATTTATATTTCATGTGTAATCATCATACTTCTCGTGATCATGCAACGTGTGAAATATTTTGCCCAATTTAGATTTTAAAAAATAGATTTTTTTTGTATATTTTAATAAAATTGGTGAAATACGTGGTTGAAAAATTGAGTTTGATTTAGATTTTAATCCATTTTTTTTAGCAAAACCAAGTAGGGACTTAAAGTCTCATGACCATTCTTGTTGTAGAAAATAAACAAGTTTATTATTAATAAAAATGTTATTAATTCGAAAGATTAAAATTCCAAATTAGGACTACAGGGAAATATATCCTGCTTTGCATCTTAAATAAAAAATAAAAATAAACGTATTGCTGACATTGTTGTAGTCATCGAGTCTTCATTGCTAGTAAAAGTACAATAAACAATCATTTTTATATAAAATATTTATAGTTGCCGGATGAGATTCAAGAATCCCAAATGGGACCAAAAGCAGGAATTCCTGCACCCTTGCAAGCATCAACCACGTCCCTGCTTCCTTCTGGATTGCTAGTAACAATCACCACCTCAGCTGCCCAATTCTTAGCGGCGACGACGCTCATTTCCGACACGTTTGGGCGGCCGAGCACAGCGGTGTCATGGATTATTACCTTCTCCTTAGGATGTCCACTCATCATTTCCTTAATTTCTTTACCAAAATTTTGTTCTACGTTTTTTGTCACCCAAAGTAAGCAAACATCAGCCTTGCATGGCTGTAGGAGGAAGGAGAGGAAGACACAGATTCCTGAGCCAGTGGCTACCAAAAGAACCCTGTCATACATGTTGGTTAGGTATGGAAGGCCAGCAAAATGGACCTGTCGAACCCATAAGTGGCTAGGTGGGTTAGTGACGAGAGATTTTGTGAAGTCACCAACTGCACCAGCCAGCATCATGTGCTCTTTCTTGTTGTCTGATATTATGCCAAATGCATGCCATTCTGAAAAGGGTGATGGGCTAATCCTACCCAAAATTCCAGCCTTAATCCCACCCTCAAACTTGATGATTGAGGCGTGGCCTGATGGTGACGAGACTTGAACTGGGATACGTCTTACAGTCAACCATGGTATGATGATTAGCATTGTGATTGCAAGTGTGAACCAGAATTCCTGCTGTTTAACTAATCTTGACCCAATATCATCGCTATAGGATTTTGTGTTAGGGTCATAAGAGATAGTGAGGGTGATGAATGCCCAGAGGAGAGCAAGCGCGGTCCAACCTGTGAATCGATGAGTCCTTTCGAACACATTGTGGTGGAGATGTCGAACTAGGGGGAATGCAGCGGCCGAAGACAGACAGAGGAGTGCAAGAATGGTGGAGGCGACACCGATGATTTCGGGCGAAGTATTTTCTCTGTCTTTTAGAGTGAGGACTAATGAATAAATGAGCCACGCAATAGAGGAAATCCCACAACTACTGTGTATTCCACCAAGAGATTGCAGGAGGGATGTAGTCATGGTTTTTAGCCTAAGGGGTACCCATGTCCACCCCAATACATTCACAGCCAACCAGAAAATAATTCTCAAAATGGCCTCACTTCGACAGAGTACCAAAGCAAATATGTTGCAAATGGAGAATAATGCAGCCCTATTTCTTGCATATGGGAAATTCCCAGTAGCTGCAAGAACCAAAAAGGTGATGTTTATAGCAAAACAAACAGCAAAAAGTCGTTTGTAAACTGTAAACAACCCTTGATCAAGCAGTATAACTGAGAGTCTCGATGTCTGCTTCGGTTTAGCGGGAGCTGCCATAGGCGGTGGTGGAAATGGCGGCAAAACATGCTCAACTTTCTCTTCATCGTGGCCTTCTTCAATATCAGCAAGAGTCTCCACCTCATCATCGTTATCTTCAAATTCAAGATCACAGAAATGGCTACTGCTTCTGCTCATTGTTCTTTCCAACATTTCAGAAGATGGAACCACCTTAGAAAAGCTTCCCCATGGAATCCAAGATCTTTTACTACCTCCGGAACGGTTAATTATTGCCGGAGCTGGGACGGAAAATGGATCAGAATGTGGTTTAATCTCAAAAGACACTCCCCGGCAGCTTGAAAACCTCTCAATTGTCTCTGGGATTTCCATATTTTCACTCAAAAACGAATCAAAAAACTTAATGTAGAGGAAACCTAGTGAAGAATAGACTGTGTAGGAGAGGTTTGTGCTATTTCTTGTAGAAGAGGATAGATATTTATAGCCCGCGTCACCCTATAATTACTTAAAAATAAGTATTTTTTTTTCCAATGATATTGGTAAATCAGATTATGGAAGACCGAGTCAAGATAGTTGCACTTTTTATATACAAAAATTAGTTTGGCCTCTACTTGCTAGTTCTTCTTCTTCTTTTCCGCCATTATTGTCTTTTTAAAGAAAAATCACTCAATCGGCGTAATTTTAATTAAGTTATTGCATTGTGTTCATGTGCTGTACTTTTGCTGTATTTGGCTCTGAATAGAGTAACCTAGTCAATGTTACTACCCCTTCTTAATTTATCCGAACTATTTGGCTAAGCAATGACATTTTGTCATCTCGAGGGTGACATGAATTGGAACTCTGTTACTCAAAAGTTGTTACACTAAATTTAAAAATATTTTTTTTATTATACATAATATACTCTTTATAAATATAGTATGTTGAAGATGATCTTAGCATTCTGTACAGCTGAATACAAGCTGCCGGATATCATATTAATCTTCACTAATTTGCACATAGATTTCAACCAGTGTAAGAAATTTTCTGAGAATGTGCAGCTAAGTGCCAAATGGAAATTTATGCATTAAAAAAAGTGGTGGACCGAGTCACCCCTTGACCAATTTTATTTTAACAGTTGGGTAATTTGTTTGCTTATTTTATCAATTAATTCCAACTTATAGTGACATTGTTTGTATATAATGTACCTTAGTTCTTGAAGCAAAGAATATCCTTAATGCTCGTGGAATGTTTTTTTATATTTATCCTGTGATGAAAACTATTTAATCATCGTATGAATGGGTCAATGAAGATAATAAATGCATATATTTTAAAGGCAATCAACCTCGTAAACAGAATTTCGATAGCAGTACATGTTATATAAGTTGCGATTATATGGATTAGTGAATATGTAATTTCATGAATTTCAAAACGTTGGATATTCATCTCTCTTTATTTTGGAATTAATCATAGGTTAAATTTTACAATTTGATAATATAAATGTGGATAATATCTATATATGTATATATATTCTCTTTCGAATTTCAACACGACTTTGCACTACAATCAACTCATCACCAAGCAAGAATCGCCATATATATTACGAACAAAATTTTAAGAGATGCTAGTAATTTGAATTGTACAGTTTAATTAAACTTATAAGTTGCATTTAAGA